AGCTGCGGCAGCTTTTTGAGCTTGCGCACACTCTTGACAACCCGCTTATTGAAACATGGCAAGCGCTGAGCCCGACTATACTGCATGTCAAAACCAAGCTCGGTTTCCGTGAACTTTAAAGAAACAACACTGTCACAGAACGTGAGACCTAACAAACGCCGCCTGAAAGATGGGGATGTTGCCCAACACCAGCATTTTTGAGCTGCGACGGGCAATTTAAATGCCAAGCAAAAGTCCTGCAAGACCTGCACTGCACCAACAAGCTCTTCAGGCGAACTGGCAAGAATGCTCCAGTTGTCAGCAAAGCCATACGGCTCGACACGAGTGTTCTGCGCAACAAAGGCATGAAAAGCAACAGTAAAACAAAGCATTGCCACAACGGCAAAGGGACACCCCTCCGGCGCACCCGTGCTGCTTTGATGACCGTCCATAACAAAAGTATGGAAAACTAGATGCCTCTTAAACTGCGACAACATACGCACATACGCATTTACGAGCCAAGCTGGGAAGCCCATTTTCAACATAATTGCCTTCAAAATTTTCCGAGAAAGAACATTAAAAGCCTTTGTTATGTCTAACACCAAACCACACAGATGACCAGCATGATCTGCACTTTCGATGCGAAACTGCACATAATGCATGAGCGTCAAAGGGTCAACCCCGCGAACACCACCGCCCAGCCTGGGCGCCACGTTTTGAGAGGCCCACGATATGACATCTTTTGCGTGCATCCTAGACCACGTCCTATAAATCCTACTTAAAATAGTAATGGGGCGAAGCTTTTCAGGAGTACTCACATCAGCATCCTTAGGGATGAAAAGGCCACAACTCAAAAATCGCGGACCAGGCTTGGATTCTTCCATCGCTACATTCTGGTGTGCTGATGAGGATCGCAAGACCAGGAGGGAAACAGCTGCTTATCAAGTGCCGCGGTGAATACGCGCCTCGACTCTACCATCGAACTACTCACGACGCTGCTTTCGCAATCCTCGAGAGCGGCATTTAAGGCAGGCTACGGGGAGTCCGGGAAGTATCACAACTATTTCGCTAAGGCTTCGCTCGGTGAGTTGAACGAAAGAGCCGGTGTGAGGGCCAACCTCAACATCGAGACGGTGGTGTCAACTGCTGAAGCTCTACAGTTCGCTTGGATGTTTGAGACAGCCAGCGAGGGTGTGCTCACGCGGGATGAAGTCCCCGGTTCCTGTACCCTCTACATCAGGGACGCGGCCACAAACACCTTCCTTTGGGCCTTTGCTCGCGGCCAACCCAAGAAGATGAAGGGGGTGGAGATGAAGTAGGGTGGTTGCAAAGGCCCCACCTAGTGGAGGCCAGGAAATTGATGACGACGTCGCTATCTCTCCTGAACCTGAAGTAGAGACCACAACCGGTGGAGGAAACGAAATCGAGCCAGACATCGCAATGCCAGCTGAAAGTGTCACAGGTGCCAGCGACATCGTCATGGAGCCTGTCGGTGACAACATGTTGGCAATCACCGATGCCACCGCAAGCGACCTACTGCCTCATGAGGAGGCTCAGCTCAACGACGACGCGGTTGATGAGCCCGAAGGCGGGGTAGGGGGACGTTTTGGAACCCAACACTGTGCAAGGCAGGGACGACGACGATGAGGAAGAGCGAGCACCAACTGTCCATGTTGAAGCAGCACCAACAATGCCGGCTTCAGTACCGTTGGCTCTTCCTGCCCCCGCTGCGAGTGGCCGCCGTCGCGCCTGCCCCAACTGCAGGGCTCAGCAACTTGTGGGCCAAATTTTGTGTCTTTGGTTGCGGTGCCACCATCATCAAAGCTTCCTCCCAAATCCAGCGCAACAGGATGAAGTCTACCCGCTGGTTCGCCGAGACGGCTGCTGCAAGAGTCCGGAAACACGGGTCGGAGCTGTCAGTTAACGATGTTCTGACTAGCATCCACCGTGATTCGGGTTCCCGTAGGCTGCAATTTCTGGATGGTGCTGTACTTGAGAAGGCCAGCAACGTCATCGACTTGCAGAGAAGAAGGGATACAACAACACCATCGAGCGGTTTGACAACGATGTGGAATACACTCTGCACAGTGTCGCCGGGGGATTCGACCCAAGCTTCCTGAGGATTGAAGACATTCTGGTGAACGCGTGCCTCCCCGATACCGGCCGAACCAAAGGCCAACGAGCTCTGGGGACTGGCACGCATGCCTCGGGCTGAGCAGAGAGGCCAGAGCGTAGTGAATTTAGACTACATTCACGATTGTAATCCAGCCGGCCTTCTCGGGACGAGTAGTGACGACGCCTTAATCGTCATGTGGTTGGGTGTCGCCTACAGCATCGGTGAGTTCGTCGGAGTTTTCCTGCAACACAAGATCGTCGATCGCATCCAGATGTTCACGGAAACCGTGTACATCGATCCCAGCTTAGGCTACTCGTCCTACAAGTGGATTCAATGGTTGCAGAACAAGTTTCATTCTCAGGTGCATGCCGGACGCAGGGCCCACAAGGAGAAGATGCGCAATGCCGCACTTACTCGCGCCGCCCAGGCCAAATCTGATGCACAGCGAGCAGCCAAGGGCTATGGCAAAGGATACGGCGAGGGCCACTAATTACGAAGGACCTCACACCTACTCTCGCAACACACGGGACTACTACCGTGGCCAAAGCTCACCGTTTCGTGCTCCGATACGGTAACCGGTAATCTGCATAACAGCCCTTCTTAGAGGTGGCCGAGCTTTTGCCCAAAACCAAACAGAAAGGGAAGCTCACATGCCGAATTCGCTGCCACGCAGCAACTCCGATATGGATGGAAAAACTGTCCTGCGATCAATCCTTTGGAACTTTGGAACGCAGCTTGTATCCACGCCACAATCCTAATCCCGGCTTGTTGGATCGCTACCTTTTATAATTTCTCTTGTTCGCGACTTTCAACATCCGCGACAAATAATTCGTTTGTGAGTGCATCTTCCGCTTTCCATTTACAACAAACTTTTGAGCCAAGCACGCTACATCCAGCCGCCTTTACGGCAGGCCGCACATTGGGAGAGATGCGGGGCTGTGTCCGCCTCCGCTCACGCCAAGCATATCAGCTTTGGCGAGGGGTGTAGAATATGCACGTGTAATCTATTGACCCCTTGTGCACTGTACCTTGTTCATGGATGTACCGTTGTTGCGAGTGCTAAAACAGGAAGAAGGTATAGATGCGTTCCATGGCATAGTCCTGTTACCACTTGAACGGGTATACTACATCAGTGCGTGTGACGAGGGGTTTCCCCCAGCTGTAGTTGCACAGCCTTGCCATTGAGGCTTCGGGAATCCGGCAGATGTGGTGGCAATCTCAGAGCTGTTTCTCGTTGATCTTTTCTGTACGTGGCACGGTTACCTGGTCAGGGAAAGAGAAAAGGTCACATTGATGATATTTGGGCACTCAATGCATCGTGGATAAGGATGAGACGCCTGCAGGGCAGCTTTGTCAGAAAATCGCAGACGGCGCTGTGGAGGTCGGGGGTCGCGGGCACGATGCTTTTGCGTTTCCGGGCTTAGAAAAGCGAGCTGCAAGGAGGCATATGCACTGCTTCGCCAGTTCCCCAAGCTTGCAATAGAGGCGGTGGTCGCGAGGCGGTCAGCCACCAACAGTGATTAAGAATTTACGAGCCGCCAGGTTGATAAGGATGGCATGCTTCCGCTGCATTGGGCTGCAGATCGAGGAGATGTGGAAATGGCACACCGAAAGCAATCGAAACATTGCGTCGTTTCTGCGAGCAAATGTGGTTGTGCCCAGGTGACTTTCCTGTTGGCGAGGGCCTCAGTGTAGTACATGCAAGGACGTCGAAACTTATGTTGGACATTTTTTTGCAGCTGTGTGGTCATTTGCATTCGCCAATGGGCGAAACTTGATGAGGTGCTGTTGCACGGAAAACTGGTCCCCCTTGTTTCGCTGAAGTTGGCTGCTGAGGATGTCCCTGACGTGAAAGCCCACATCAGCAAGCAAGATGAAGGTGGTGACACCCCGCCGGGCTCTTGTTTGTGCATGGCGTATGTGGTTGTCCCGTTCGTGCTGCTTGCGTTTTGAATCTTTGCCCGTGGCGGGTGAAGGGATGAGAAGGTCTTTTGCCACATGCTTGTATCATCTTGTACCAGATGTGTCCCATGCAGCGCCGTAGTAGAAGTTTTGCCCAAGGCTACACTACGCCGTCAGACCCCGGGGCCGCGTGAAATTCACCTGTTGTGAGTCTGCTTACGGTAGTACGTTCAGGTCATGTCAGAAAATGAGACGGTCGCGAAGCTGTTGGTGTGCAGCGGTGAGAAGCTCATTGCCGGGCATAGCCGGCATAGCTCTACAGAGTACGGTGGTTTGTTTTAACATCGACACACCGCCCATCTCAGATCTGTGGGATTGGAGGTGCTGATGCGAACATTCCCAATGAGGCCGGGGGAGTGATAAGGGCGACAGGGAGGGTGTAGATCAAGGCATGAGCAAGGACGTGAAGAGTATGAGTATCCTCGGCCTTTCATATAGTATAATGTGCGTTGCACTCAGGTGGGGTATGTGGCCTATAGCAGTGATGAACATAGGCAACACTTGGCTGGAGTGTTGGGCAGACATCTATATGCACCGTAGATTTTTGACAGCATTAGAGCATAGAGATTTCGTTTGCATCCTCACACTCGCGGGTGTGAGCCGGAACACTCCAAAAAAATGCGTGCCGTTGAGAGAGGAATCGAGGGGCTGGCTGCAAGAAGATATCTACCTGTGGCCAAAGGACACAAAGCCTGCAATCACGGGCATGGCATAGGCAGCCGGCTCAAACAAATCCATTCTATGGACACCTTGTGGAAATCCAGCAGCACACCTCAGTGGTCTAGATATGATATTGGTCTAGCATCCCGCTTTCAGGAACTGGAGCGCCAAAGGTTGCTTTCGAAGTTAGGTTAATCTGGTCAATGACACTGCAGTTAAATGGCGCGGGTCGGTGTGCACTCATTTCAAACTACTTGCTGGCCCAGTGCATTGCAAACGTGGCCGCTGGAGACGGCACTCCATCCCCCACGTCTCTGCCATCAAGCTGCGCGCGCTACTCACGCATGCTTCAGCGACGTGCAAGGTCTGCAGGGCGCTGTGGACACTGGCAAAATGCTGGGAGGTCCACCGCGCAAGGATCCTACTGACCAAAGGGTTTTCAACGACGAGCCGTCCGAGTCCATGGAGAAGTTGCAGAAGCTCGAGACAGAGAAAACCAAGAGGATGGATGAGACAGAAGCAGCCGCAAAGAAGCAGCTTAGGAAGGAGAAGCGAAGAGTTGAGCAGTACGAGGAGGAAGAGAATAAGCTGCAGAAGGACATACAGTCGTTGAGGCAAGAAGCAAAGGCTTTGAAACAAGAGGGTGCGGCACGGAAAGGGAAAGAAGAGAAAATCCTGGAGTCTTCAGACACCGAAGAGCAAACCGTCGACAGGGAGCCGAAGCCTTCAGTAGAGGGAGGAGACGAGGGGCGAGAGGGGCCGGGGTCGGCATCAGGACACTCAGAAGACTCAGTTGCAGGAGGTCATGAGTTCTTGGCACAGAGCCGCATCATTGCTCCTCCCTACCTCGAGCCAACACGGCCAGAAGATGAGATTCCCGTGGCCGTAGCTACCACGCAAGAGCAGTGGCGACGGCAACGGATCGCGAAGGACCAAGTCCAAGTGGCACAGGATCAGATGCAGCTAGCGAAGGACAGCCGCACCCTGGCAAAAGGCCAGGACAAGCTGACTAATCTGCGGACTCCAGGCGTCGAGAAGGAGGAGCTTCTTGCAGAGCAGGTGCGCGATCAAAAAAGGATCGCCTTGGACCAGGAGCTGCTGGTTGAGAGCCAAAAAAGATTGGCAGAGGACATGGGCAGTGCCATCGACGGTAAGCTCCGGTGGGAGCGTCTTGAGGACTACCGCAAGCGCCGCATCGAGAAATTTCAGGATATGGTGAACGACAAGTTGAATCGCTTGTACAAGGCAGAGATCGACTTCGTGAAACGAGGCCACAAGGGCAAGCTCCGTGGAGCGCCACTGGAGGTCCCGGACTACGGCCAGATTGGCCTGCGAGTCGTTTCTGGTGCAACAGCCAAGCTGGCCACGGGTGGAAGTGACGGCAGCGAGGTCTTCCAGGAGGATCGCTCTCCCGAAGAGGCAGCAGAAGAGGAAGCCATGGCACAGGACACCGACGAGGCATCTCCAGACCACGCTAGCTCTGTGCAAGATCAGCCCGTCATGCACAGCGGCTTCAGCGGCCTACACTTTTCGGAGCTTTGGTGGTTCCATTGGTTCCTAGCAGAGAAACAGCGGCTGCAAAATACATACTCGGCATATTCCGACTTCTTTCCCAATGCGAACGCAAACGAGTGCATACAATAAGCGGGTCGGTCCCTAGAAGGCTGCGAAACCGTAGCCTTGCTTGAAGTTAATGAGTTCCAAGTGCTGCAGCCCAGCCATGCTGGAGCGCGGTGGTGTGCTGGATCTACCACGGCTAGACCCTGCTGCAATCCCATCTTGCTCACAAATGGAGCGAGTGTTCTGCAGCTCGGTGGGTGCTGGTGAGGCACCCCATCCAAATCATTGCTGCTCTGAGCTGATTGCGAGCCGCGAGTGCAGACAGATCGCAGCATTCTGAGGTGCTCGGGTTGCAGGTTGAGTGAACATGTGCACCAGGCTGGTGAAACACCAGCCGAGCTGGCCAAAGCAGGAGGCAGAGCCTCGACTCCAGGGACTCCAGGGCTGTTGCGAGCTATTACGGTAGATGTTCGCTGATGTGACAAGCGACCAGGCCTGGCGTTGGGATGACCAGCAGATCTCGCTGGATCGGTGAACTTTATCGAAAAGTGTGTTTCGCGCTTGGGTTTCTGCGTGCATCCGGTCATCCGGCAAGGTGTTCGCAGGCGTTTCGGTTCCAAATGCCACAAACCCCACCCGCTTACCGAAACAGTCCTGGTTGCTGAGCCTTGTCTGCACTAGGCCGGGAGCAGCTGTTTCGAGGCTCTCAGGGCTCCCGCACCGAGGTTGAATGCAGCAACAAGTTGTCGCAAGCTGCTTCCCGAGATGTAGGAGCAAGGTGCAGCATGACACATGTTGGTGACGCATGTTCTTGGCGAATGCGGGCAGCCTCGCGGCTCACTCAGGCTGCATTCTGGGTTCTGCTTTTGCGGCCACTGCTCAAACCCCCCTGGTCGCCAGTGTAAGCGGACCGACCGCAGCATCTTGGCGCTAAGTTTATAAGCGGACCGGCCTCGGTTTCTTTGCCCTGTGCCGAGGAGATTCGGTTGCTGCAACCCTCGCACCTTGGCCTGGTGGGTTCTTGTGGAAGAGCGTTAGCCGCTAGACTCCGCTGAGGCGCCGGATCCTGAGCGTCTCTGCCGCTGCAGCAGTGGGAGAAGCCATACAAACCGTACAGATTGACAGCAGTCATAGGACTGATCGTGCTGATCTTTAGTTTTGATCGGAAGCTGTGAGGCTGTGCACACCTCCCTTTTGCCTTTGTGGACAGGAGCCAGGCAACGAGGCATGCTGCTTCCGAGTTAGGTTCGCAGCTGACGGCCAGGCTTGCGACCTGTGGCTGTCGAACCACCAGTCTCCTCAGACGAGAGATCACGGCACCACAAAGCCTTGGGTTTGTCGTGCGCGCAGGCCAAATGGAAGAATCTCTGAAACGAAGGGATGGATTGACCTTGTCCTTTTGACCTACTTCTGCGGCGGCGCGCTCTCGATTACACGCGCCATTGTGCTTCTGGCACAGTTGGTCACTGCGCTGGAATTGCCGGTGAAGCTGGTGCCGGCATATCCTCTAGTAACTCTAGTGACTGACTCATTTGCATTTCAAACATGCCATGCTACACCCAAGGCCACATTGGGCTTTCACTGGCAGCCGTTCATCATCCCCGCCAGAAGCTTCCATTGCCATCCGATTTTGCCGGTGTAAAGAGGTCCTTCTGTGAATTGTGAGACTTAGGCTGCTGCTGGTTTTGCATTCATCCCCTTGGGCTGGGCAGGAGTGAAGAGTTGCATCGTGCATTGCTTGATTCTGGTCACTCTTTCGCTCTCTCTCTCTCTCTCTCTGTCGGTCTCTGTCGGTCTCTGTCGGTCTCTATCGGTCCTCCCTCTCCCTTTCGCTGTCGCTCTCCCGTTCACGCTCACGCTCAGGCTCACACCCTCACCCTGACCGTCCCCTTCGCCCTTACTCTGGCCCTCGCCCTCGCCTTCATGCCCACGCACACGCTCACTCCCACTCGCACTCTGCACCGCGGCTCTAAGTGTTCCCCGCGGCGGGAACGGGTCTAGCAGCGCAACGCGCAAAGGAAGAGCCACAGCTGAATGCGACCCAGCTGTCGGGGGTTTTGAAGTGGAAAGAATTCAGGAAGCCAAGAAGGGCCACCACAATATCCCAAGAAGGCACGGATGGATCATGCAGAGATCAAAGTTTTCAAGCTGAAGCTCGACGACCCAAAATGGAGACTTTTACCAGAGGGCGTGGCCCAGAACCGCTAAAGAGACTTCGAAGCCACCACTACCGTGGTTGGCCTAGAGGGGCTGGATCCAGGCGTCATGAGGCGATGAAGCATCATTCACAGACTCTAAGGGCCATTATAAGCTTCGAGGAAAGTATTTGATGCCAACCTTGGGAGCTGAAAGCGCGGTTGTAGAGTGGAAAGTATGGTCGCCATAACTATTGTTCTTCGGAATGAGGCGGGGCCCGAGGTTGGGCAAGTTAATCACCATGTTGACGCTAGATGAGGGATAGTCTGGCGCTAGAACACCAAGATAGATCGTCATATATATACATATACATATTTATATATAATATTTCTGCTTATATACATATAGTTTACGGTTTTGTGTATCCAGATTCAGGCTCCCAGCGATGGTGAGGTACATTTTTTCGAGTACATTCTCCCGCTCCTTTCTTTCAGTAAGGAAGAGACGGGAATAGGTCCAGTATATCAAACGCAAGGGCCACAACAAGGCCAGGACCCTCGTTCTCGACGAGAGCGATGGCAGTTCGAACGATAGCAAGCATTTCGTTTCTTTGCGTTATTCCTTTTTTCCTTTTGTTTCTTTGTCTCCCCGGGCATATTTGCACACCCAAGCTCACTGCTACTTTTTGGTGCTCCCTTCTCCCAGTGTTCCTATTCCACTCCGAGGGCTACTCGGGACAGAGATTGATAGCATTGTGGCAGGACCCGCAGGCCTGGCCACCAGGCCCGTGAATGACATCATCGCTGCCGATCCGCAAAAGATTCTCATTACCGCCCACCACTGGGCGACCTCCAAACACAGGTCCCGGCTCCATGGCATGATTTTTCTCGGTGTCGTATCGGTACTGAGTTTTCTCAAAAAGGCCTCTCCATTGGTCAAGACATGTTGTGCTGGCTTGGCAGCTTTCCTTTCGAACGGAGGTTTTTTTTTTCAGGGTTGTCAAGCCATTAGAGTCTGGGAATGTTTGCCCGCATGCCTGCTGTTTTGAAGATCTGCTGCCGTGTCCTGGAGCATCGACGGCGTGTAGGCCGAGATTGTGGTTGGATGTGCGGAGCACAACTGCCGCTAGTCACCCGAAAACGGGACAAAGCCCTGCGCTTTTGCAGGGTTTTGGCGGGGATAAAAAACACCACCCCCCACAGAGGGGTTGTCTAATTGGAGCTGACAGACTTGGTTTCCTTGCAGGCACAAAATATCCAAGCCCTTGCGGAGACAAACTTCCACTAGGGCTTGATATTTGCCCAACCCGATCGCCGACAGCGGCTTCGATTTTCTATGTGGCCGCTTCCAGGCTGGTGTTTTGTGGCCGCCATGCCAAAAGCCGGGAGGGGAGATCCAGCAGAGACTGCTGGACCTATTCTCTTTACAGCGAGACCCCCGAACGAATGGTTGGATGGATGATGGAGGCGTTGCGAGTAACAAGCGCGCTGGAAGTGGTTGGGGCCGCCGGAAGTGGGCTTTGGTAACTTTCCGCCCCCCCCCCACAGAGGCAATCCACCCCCCGCTAGTCCTGTCGGGGCTGTCTGCGGCGGTTGTTTGGGAGTTGGTGTCGCCGGCTGCGTGTCGACCGGCGGCGGATATCATGAGGAATCTTGACCCCGGACGCATTGCGAGATTCGTGGCAGCTGCGATCGAGTCCATGTAGCGCAAACAAGCTGGACGTATTTTGCTCGGTGGAGCCGTGGCCTCCCGAACCCATTCGCAGAAAACAACCAAGCAGACGGTTTGACGTCGAACAGATTGATGAACTAATTTTGCCGTTGGGAAGCTGTACTAAGGGCTCCGGAACTTAAGCGAGAAGAAGTCTTGTTGTAATCACAGTTGCAAAGTTGGCAGCTCATGTTCCCATGGTTGCTATGTGCTTCTCGGTTCCTCTTTGTTCTGGAAGCTGCTATGGTATGTGGCCTCGGGGGGATGGTGCCGTTGGCATGCGACAGCGCTGTGTGCAAATGCTGGCAGGCGACCTAAACGCAAGAATCGTTAAAAAGGATCTTTCAGACTCTGCAGACTGCATCGGCGCCGCGCTCTTGCTTACGGACTCTCCTGTTGACGAAACAACGAATTACGCGTTCCTCAGTGATTTTATGTTCACTTACCGGGAAGCTGATTCTATCCCATACAGACCACACTCTTCCTCATCCTCAGCTGTCATTGCCCATGTCCCGGTCCATGAGCGCCCGCTCCATCGGGTTGTTTCAGTATCCCCCCGAATCTCTTGTCAATTGCCTTGGTTCCACATGACCCAGTCACTTCGCAATTACGTCCGATAAATTTTAAAGCCAAGCCCGAAGCCCACCAGAGGGTTATGTTGTGCACGGCCCAGGATCGCGCTAAGTATGTGTCCATTGGCCACGCAAACATCGCGCCTTCTCCCGAACTGCGTGGCAAGGGCACCTAGCATCTAGACCGACGGCTCCTGCCCGGACCAGCACGACCTCAGCGCGCGTGGCCATGCGGCCTGGGCCTACACCTTCTCCAGCTTGCGTCGCGACGTCGGATTTTCCCAGTGTTTTTGACGTGTGCCATGACCATATCATACCACAGGCACGCACTCCAAGACCTGACTGTGCACTCGCACCCCTATATGCTGTTATCTCCTTTGGGTCGCGTGCCTGCTTGATATCTCTATCCTGAAATCAAAGGACACGACGGCAATGAGGGCAACACGTGCACTACTGACTTGGCCTTTCGCGGCTTTTCTTCTGCCGATCTCGGTCGTCACTCCTTCCTTCTCAGCATATTTTTGGGCACATGTAGATCAGGCCACATTCCTAGCCGCAGCGGTTCTGGACACGTCCTTCCAGCTGGAAGGCCCGAAATATAAATAAACTAGAAAGTTTGCTGCGCATTCTCTTCACTTTTCTCTTCTTGAACATTTCAATCAAATTTCGTTTTCTCCTCCACTAACCCATTGGGGGAGCAGTCATGGTCATTAATATGATTATGATTATGACTATGATGTTTCAACGAACAAAGGAAAATGGATCCCAAAGCTCCCTCCAGCTACAGCCCCATCTCTTTGGTCAAGACAGACTCATTGTCAGTGAACCACATTGTTTGCAGCCAGTCCATCTCATTACATGGCTTTCGGCGAAATGGCTGCCAGGGATCGCAGCAGAACACCTCCACCCCAGCCAACTCTTTGGCGCTGGACATGGCGCTCGACTACCGAACATGACGGCAGAGTTGTGTGGTGGTGGCAATGGTTTGAAGTGATGTGCTTTTGGATTCGATCCAAAGCCCAACAGGACTAGCAACCTCCTGCCGACATGGAAGCCCGCCCAATTCGACATCTGAAGCGCAAACGCAGTCACTCCGTGTAAGAAGAGTTGGAACGAACTCGTATTGCTGCTGACAACAAACATCAGCCTGCGTTGAGTCAGAGAGCTAGCCGAAGCCTTCCCAGAAACCATTCACTACATTTGCTAGCGGGTAGCCTGAAAAGTTTGACCGACTGATGCAACTTGCAACAAGACATGTCCATACGTGTGCACCAGCACATCATCGCCAAGCAGTGAGATTCCAAGTTGCTGCAGCAGCCGCCCCACACAGGTGGGGCTGTGTGTGTGAGAACTTCCTTAGCACATGGGAACAAAAGGTCACTCGTACATCGCTATATTTTTTGCAGCGCAGGGGGGCTGGACATAGGTGCATTGGTCGCCAGCCCAACGAAGAGGGCATTTGCACATGCTGATATTCTCGAGAGAAGTCTTGGGCCAATTGGGAACGTACCTGCGATGAAGTTTGACGCATCCTACTCTTGCAAGCTGTGCATGGTGCCATCTGATGATATCGTCGCTGTGCAAACATAGGATCCGCTTTACAGCAGCCGTGGCTTGTGTGAAACCAACAACAACAATACCCCGCCTCGCTCCTCGTCTCTCCTGCCTTTTGCTCCTGCCGAAATCCCACAAGTGTGTGTCTGTCTCTGGATCTGTTTGTCTGGATCTGTTTGTCTGGATCTGTCTGTCCGTGTCTGTCTGTGTCCGTCTGTCTCTGTCCGTCTGTGTGTGTCCGTCTGTCTGTCTGTCTGCCTGCCTGCCTGCCTGTGTGCCTGGCTGGCTGGCTGGCTGGTGGCTGGCTGGCTGGCTGGCTGTCTGTCTGTCTGTCTGTCTGTCTGTCTGTTTCTCGGTGTCTGTTTGTTTGTCATGTCACGTAATGTCATGTCATGTCACGTGAGGTCACGTGACGTCACGTCATGTCACGTCACGACGTCGCGTCACGTCACGTCACGTCACGTCAC